CTGATACAAGGTATTATTAATTTGGCATTACAACGGTCGCTAATTTCGCGTGATATAATTCGAGAATGTTTGCCCCCGGGCCTGGGGTAAACACCAATTAATCCTGGCAACACGATACGTTGCCAGGGAATGGAGGGGAGGGGAGGATCCCTCCCTTCTGGCAGATTGCTGCATAATCCCGCTGCATTTCTACTGCTTCCGATGCAATTGCCTAAGAGGGCGTGTATCGAGGGGCATTTTTGAATAGATGACACATCATGGTTGATGTATTTTTCTTTTGTTGTTTGTAAATCAATCACATTTGATATTTTGATGATATATTGTATACTAACGCACGCATCGCAACTGCCAATTAAAGAAAACGAATTTCCAAACAGTTTTTAACATATAACATTTATAATTTAGAAATGTATCGTAAAAACTCCATACTTGTGAATTGATGTTATTAGCAGTAGCGAGAAACTAATAAATAGCCATATTCAAAAATAAATGAAATATTTGAAAACAAAAATAAACAACATAATTAATTTAATTAATGGTCTCATGACATTCGAATCACCGCTGGTCAATATTTTGTCACCTATGTAACCCGAAAGTTTAGCGATGAAAAAATAAATGAGTATTCCCAAATATCATCCTCCACAACAAATCAATCGTTCGCAAGTGAACACTTAATGATGTGACATAATACGAGTATATTGGACAACGTCCAACAGTGTCGTTTGACATTTATCGAGCCACAGCGACAACTGAGGGTTATTGGGACCCTAAATATTTTTTATATGCCCAAACGCTTGCTTGCACACAGTGCATTGTTTAATTCTGCTTCTTCACGCTCATTGTCATTTGTTGGACTGACTTGACAATTCAGAAGTGCCCTGTCTGGCTATAAAATTCGACCGTTTTACATTAGCATTGGGTAGACGCGCCGGGGTCTCAGTTTTCAAACTTTACGATTGCTATCAAACTTCGCCCCCTCTCATTAGACTCGATGTACTAAAGTTATTTTGTAATTGCTTTGACAAAATCAAATTTTAGTGGTCGAAAAATAAATATAATAGATTTTTTTTTAATATATATATATATATATATATATATATATATATATATATATATATATATATATATATATATATATATATATATATATATATATTTTTACATGCGTTTAATAATACGTGGGTTTTAAGCATGCTTAAAAATAAGTCATATATACACATAATACATTTTTATTAACATTTAACTAACTTTATGTTTGTTATCGATTTCATACTACAATTCAAGTTATACTAAATTTTTTTTCTATTTAATAACAAAAATCCAAGTTATCCGGCTCGAAGGATCATGAGCTGTTTTGGTAGAGTAGATATTGAACTGAGATAGCTAGAATAATAACACGGTAGAATATTTCAAATCAAATATTATAAGTTATTATTAAGCAGTGTAGTGTTGTATATTTATTTTCTCCGATATTTCAAAACAAAAAGGACGAATGTCTTTAATAATAAATGAATTTACAATAATGTAAAATCGTTAAAATTTGAGAAATAATTTATTAAGGATTAATTTTGTGTAAACGTCAATATCTATATTATATCAAATAAATATGTCAATAAATATATTAATTCACTTATATATACCAAAAATACAATGGTATTTGCTGTCATTCAATTTTTGAGTCGACTGTTACATAAAATATTTAGATCCAGTAATTGGCATTTCTTGTTTTATTCTTTGTTTTTTTTGTAATCTATAGGTACGGTGCGTACTAGATATAAACGCAAATCCCGCATCAATATTTCATGCGTTCCTAAAACCCAATTCGGGAATTTTAATGTACCTAAATAGGACGCTGGTGCTAAATTTTGAAGTCGCTTAGTGAATCGGACTCTCCTCGTCAATGTGTCGGTTGAATGACGTTTAGCCTTTGTGTTACTCTAATATTCGATGCCATGAGATACATAATTCATTATGTTTTGAAAAGAAGTCGTAAAGGTATGTAATGAGGATGAAATGGACACAATCGTAAAAATAGGCAAACATTTTAGTACAAGTTTATGATATGATAATATCTGCCACAGAACGCATACTCGTGTGAAGGTATTGATTTATTGTACCAAGCGTTTTTAGGCCATCGTAGAGCACACGAAAGTCTCTTCATGGCTTGCCAAATTACAAGTTTACGTACTCTCCGGAAAACGGAGCAAAAGAAAATCATTCTTGAATTATTCAATATTCAATCATGAATTTGGAAAATTGAGATTTAGGCTATGATATCTGTGTTGAAATCTTCTTTGGATTCAATTTCTAAAAGTATGTTTAATTTTTATCCTACCAAAGGATATCTACTATAAAATTAAATTAACCGTCCAAGAAAATGGCTTATTAAAAGTAACGTATGTATATCTCAATAGGCACATGAAGTTGTGTAGTATCGACATTCGTATCGAATACTCACAATAAATCAGTGACACGACGCTCCCCGCTTCGGGCTGAACATTTTATTAAATTCCGCGATTAAATACCCGCCGGTAACGTTAAACGAAAACGTTTCGATATTATCGCGATATCTCGACACCTCGACTCACCTCGCCCAGTTTATAATTACGAGCTCGCCGTCCGCGTCCCCTCCATGTTTATGTATTTGCTGTTACAGTGTCTGTACGAGCGGAATACGTAATAGGCTCCATTTGCTAAACGTACTTGCTAACTATTTAACCTCAAGATGTATAAAGCTTCTCTCGAGACGAAACGATCGATAAGCAAAATTATAACATTGGGAAGTTTAATACAACATCAAACTTTAATACGATCAATCAATACAGTTGTCAAGAGCATATCTCCTAAATTTCTGACACTTAGGGTTACACAATACAGTCCATAACTGTTCATCGACATTTGTAGAACGTTTGCGCTGATAACGATTGGATTGATACGATAACCTCTGTTATTTCAACTAACGCAACCACAACTGTAAATAATGTTACGAAATATCTGGCGTGAACTTCTTCACGTATAGATACTGTCATCACTATAGTAAATTCCTAATGCTCAAGATAAAAAAAGACAAATTGCCGAGTCCGATAATAGGAGCAATTCCAAACAGGTTCCTGCCGCACTCTTATCAGCGTATCGCCACAAATTGATAACTGCCAGCGTAGTTTTCACGTCATAGACGCACGTTTGTCGAGTCAATAAATGCGAAAGCACCCTTCGTTAGGAATTCTGTTCCCCTCTCCGCAACTCCAGGCAGGTGTTGCAGCCGGTTTAGGAAGCCAACATTGTCCCCAATAAACTTGGAAAGTTACGGGACCTGTTCAGTTAATGGTCCCCTTCGTTGGCGTGCACAAGAAATGGTTATGCTGATGTTTACCATTTCACCATCGTTTTGTGTATTCCATCGCTTGTTTTGCTCATGAAATGTTGACTCATGTGTGTATTTGTAAGGTCTCCTTGCTATACAATCACACTTAAAATTAAGTATGTGTTTATATAATCATTTAATACCAAGTCTGTCCTGTTTTTTACATTACCACTAGTGGTAATGTAAGAAACAGGATACAACACAGCTATTAAACAAATGTAAATGGATTTTAAGAATTTTAGATGTTAATAAAGGAAAAAATGTAAGGATTCGATTCCATATAATTAACAATTGTGTCCCATAAAAAAAAAAAAAACGAATACAGTTGTGTCAATTGTGACAAAACCAGTTGTTTTGATTTAAAAACTAAACTACTGTACCGATTTCGATAAAATTTATATAATATGAAAGAATAAACTACCAATATGTAAGTATATTCTTTCAGATAACAAAAATAATTTTCCAAAACGAGTTAAAACCGAGTTATGAAGTAACAGACATAAAGAATACAACCGTATTAAATACCTCCTTCTTATTAAAGTTGGTTAAAAATAATCATAATGGCATCTTTAAAATTTTTAACGTGATACAAAGTCGTGAATTTCAATCTAGGAATGATTATGTGGATGGATACTCGTATATTAATAATTACATATACATAATATGCCAATTCAATTAAAGTTTTCTCAGATGTTTCAATAAATAATAACTTATGTACTGACTTTTGAAATAGTTATAAATACAGATGGGCAAAGCACCGGGTTTAAACCCGGTGCTTTGGTAAAAACCCAATAAACACCCATAAACTCCCATAATCACCCAAAAAAATAGGTTTTTACGTATTTTTTTGAAAATATGTAAGTAATACCAATAAATTATTTTTATAAATTGTATTGATCAATTCTACAATATTAAATAAAACGTTAACTAATAATATTTCAGGAAATTTTAAAAATCTATATATAATAAAATGAAAGTAATTAATTTTCAGTGTTTTCATGTTGCAGTTGATCAACATGTTGGCCTTTTGCTTCCCGTAGATACTTTAAAATTTCTTCATAACACCTCGTTCGCACACATGGCCGTATATATTTAAATTCTTGAGCCACTAACAGTCCGAAATACTCATTTCTTTTATCCTCTTCTCCATAAATTAAGCATTTAGAACAGTTTGTTTCTTCTTTCAGTAAATTTTCTTTTACTTTATCCTCGTTTTTTTCTTTGTTGCGACGACGCTGGGTAAATCATCTGGACACTGGGTCTCACTATCGCCAAATATATTTGGAGATCGGCTTCGGCTACGGCTTGGCAGACATTTTTTTCTTTCTACAATTTTAAATTAAATTTATTAGAATAAATGCTTCGAACACACGCGATCTAAGTACCTTTTGTGTTTATTATACCTTACCTACCTAGGTATAAAAAGAGTACTTACGTAGATTTTCTTTTATTAACTGTTTTATACGAAGATCTTGATCTCTCAAATTAGCATCCATTTTACTTCCAGTGATTATCAACTAAATTAATAATCCACAAAGTATTAAATAACGTTTTTATGAAATATTTAGCACAAAAACAATACCCTTTAAATATCGATCGTCAGTAACTGTGGCTGACTTACCTATATTCTAGCAAGCAGGACTGCCAGATGTGAAGGGGAAATCCCCAATAAATTGTTGCATGTGACTGATGATGTGAGCATGTTCGTTTCATAATAAAAATGTTGCCAGGTAACCAAAAAGTCGTATGTTTTTGTGCGAATTACGATCATAATCTTTACGATCGTACATTAAAAAATAGACAAATAATAGTATGAGTACGATTTAAATCGTATATCTGTCAACCCTGCTAGCAAGACAGCGACAAAATCACGTTGCATAACAATGTAGCCCAAGCTTATATCTTATGAAATATACGGAAGAGATACGGACTTAGAAAAAACAGAAATGTTGTTCTTTGTGGAAGTCATTGATGAAATTCTATGTATTTTAGCCCGCAAACTTTCTTCAAACAAAAACAGCGCCATCTAGTATCGAGTTCTGTAATTATCTCTTTGTTTATGGATTTGAAGTAAGACCGCCACGCATGCAATACATTATGACTGGGGATTCCCCTATTCGTCGACGCTGAATATGAGGCGACGACAATCACTGTCAAACGTGTTCACTATTACTCTGACTCTGGTAACGTGACTTCCTGGTAACGTGTTAGGTAGGAAAAGCAGTAAAAAAGTGCATATTAAGGGAGCAGATTTGAAATAATATTTATACTTAACAAGAAATAATTAAAGGTAAGTGGATTTTTGAATGATACAATTATATCATGATCACTTAACAATTTTAACTTAAAATTAGATGTATTATTACAAGCTTTTATTTAGCTTGCGTTATGTAAATAAAAGTATGTAGGTATGTTCGTATGTTGATGCAATTATCCTCAATCCTCAACCGACTGGGATAAAATTTTCCATACACGTTTATTTTGGATGATAGTGCATAGTTAGCTGAGAGTCGTCATTGGATAATAATGGTGGATAGCCTAAGATGTGTACTAGATATTTATTTTTAACATAATATGCGTAAGTACCTAATCGAATTAAAGAAGTTGCTGAGAAAAATACAGAACAATACGATAATAAACTAGCGTCTGCGTTTAATCCTCCGAGGAGATGTAATTTTACAAAGGTTTTTTGTATTTATTTTATTATTTTTTTAATAAATTTATTGTAAATAACAAGAAATAATCATTGTAAAAAAATAGGCACTCTATTGTTGAATTTTCGTCAGACCAACTAATCATCGTTCATTTTTTTAGGTTCAATGGGGAGACCTAAAGATTTACGCATATGGGAGCACTACCGTACTTTACCAAACAAGTCTGTTTCTTGCAAGCTTTGTAATAAGGTCTACAAATTCAGTAATGCTGCCAAAATGCTTCAACATCTTATCACTTGTCCAAAATCTCCAGAAACATTAAAAGACTCTATGAAACTTATAAAAGATAGCTCGTCCAAAACCAAAATGTCTGGACTGTCAGAGATAGAGACAAATGATTCTTTTATAAGCCCCTCGTCGTCTGCTAACACTACAATAAATGCTGAGTTTCAAGACACCGATGATCATATAAAAACAGAATTAGCGAGAGCTATATTTGTAACAGGGACGCCATTATCGATGGTGCAACATCCTTTATGGATACAATTTTTCGAAAAATTGCAACCAAAATTTAAAATACCTTCACGTAAAGCTTTAGCGACAAAATACTTAGATAAAATATATAGAGAAATGCGTTTTGAGTTAAATGAGGAACTAAATGCTTGTAGTTACTTACACCTTCAGTGCGATGGCTGGTCTAATTTAAGAAATGAAGGAATAATAAACTTTCTTATATCAAAACCTCAACCTGCATACGTTAAAAGTTTGAATACAGAAAGTAATCCTCACACTAGTGAATACCTTAGCCAAGAAGTTGAAAAAGTAATGAAAGTGTATGGAGCAAATAAGTTTCTTGTACTTATTGGCGATAACGCTAGAAATATACAAAAGGCATTCGAATTAACAAAACTCAAATATCCACATGTTGTTCCTCTCGGTTGCTGTGCACATATCCTTAACTTGTTGTGCCAAGATATTGTAAAGATACAAGAAGTAACTGTGTTTATTATGCAAGCCATAAATATAATAAAAACTGTTAAAAGGAGTCAACGATTAAGTTCCTTGTTGATAAAATCAAGGCAGGGTGAAGATTCTACACAAACACTAAAATTGCCTTGTGCTACAAGATGGGGAAGTCATGTTACTTCGTTAAAAAGTTTGAAAGCAAATAAGATAGCTTTGCAAATATTAACAGTTAGAGAAGATGTGGTAATTTCAAGAGATATTAAAGATTTAATTCTAAGTGATGATTTCTGGACGAAGACAGGGGAATGTATAAGTATTTTGGAACCAGTCACTGAAAGCATATTTTACTTAGAGAGCGACCAGAATCGTTTGCATCGCACATACATTACATTTAGAGATGTACAAGCTAAGATACGTTTTGCATTAAATGAGATTTCGACATTGAGCGAAGAAAGCAAACAGCAGATTCTAACATCAGTATCTTCAAGATGCAATATGGCAATGAGGCCAATACATTTTGCAGCATATATTCTAGACCCCAGGACTCTAGGAGTCGAACTTACTCAAGAGGAAGAACTTAAGGGTATGGAGTTTATCTACAATTTAAGCCAACACTTAAGTTTGTCAAATGTAATGGCAGATTTGGCGTGTTATAAAGCTAAAGAAAACTTTTGGGCCAGAGGATTTGTATGGAGCTCATTAGATAGCATTGAGCCCCTAATATGGTGGAAAGGTATTTGTAGTTCCACTGAGTTAAGCAAAGTAGCGATTCGTATTCTATCAGCTCCCTGTACTTCGGCAGCCACTGAGCGTTCCTTTAGTATCCAAGGCTACATACATAATAACAAAAGAAATCGACTTACAACTGAAAGAACTGAAAAAATTTCATTCATTTGTTATAACTGGAATCTTAAACATAAAGCTGAATGCGAGGACATTCAGTTTAATGAAAAAAATACCTTAGAAGCTTTCATTGAGCAAGTAAATGAACATAACAGTTTAGACGAAATAGAGCCTATCGAACCTATACAATTCATCGCTTGTAATAACTCTGAATCTGACAGTGATTGACTGTAGTTTTACATTTTACTTTCATCTCTTTCTTAATAAACTCAAAATCAAATTAAAAGTTTTTTATTCTGTAGGCTGCATAATAATATTGTCTATGTCCAGTATAGTGGACGTCTTGCGGCTGAGATGACGATGATGAAGTACAAAATCATAAACACCCAAAAATTTGGGTGTTTATGGGGTTTAAACCCAATAAACCCAAAACACCCGGTTTTTACCCACCAGACTTTAAACCCACCCAGGTGGATTGCCCATCTCTAGTTATAAATAATGCGACCCACGTTGATAAAACATAATTAATTAATTAATAATAATAATATTTGTAATAAACAAACATTTAATTTATTACGGAAAATACCAATTACGTCACTACTGTCATTTGTAGTAAAACTGTTGGAATCGCTTAATATTTGTAATACCCGTAATATCCCCATTATGATTCAGTTAACAGAATATGTGACATAAACCTTTTATTCATGAAATTTGTTACCACTGAATGGACATAATTACCATATCCATGGATACCTCACAATAATGCTTAATTAATTACATTAATTATATAAGACATTGTGTGTATGGAACGCAGACTCAGTTGGTGCAATATGTTTTTTAAGTATGATCAAGATTGGTTTATGATTTTAGATCCATTATAGTTCTAGTTTGAATATTATACCGTTTGGCTGTTATTTAGTTTTAGAGAAGTTACGAAGGTTTATTAATTGTAAATAGATTGCGAACAAAGTGACCCAATCGGTCTGCTTATTTTTAGTTTTGCAGTAAACATAATTATACAAAATTTAAATTTAAAATTGAAGTATTTAGTTAATGATATACTAAGAGATAATGCAGATATTGTTCTATTTGAAAATAATGTCAAAAAGAACATTAGGTACTAATAACGAATACAATTCCATCACTGAATTGTTGGATGTATCCACCATCCTATATTAATCTGAATTTGGAATAAGTGATGAACTATGATGAAAGTGACAATAGATTGAGAATGTACTGAGAATTTTCCATAATCCGAATCAAGGTTTTGGTTTTCTTCTAATTGTTAATAACTTAATTAACTGCTCCATAAATGTTCAAATTAGCTACTATACTTAAGAAATTTTATTTATTTTAGTAAATATTACGCAAGTAACTTTTATTATTCAAGATATTTAACTGCCGACCGTATTGCCACAAATTAGGCAAGTAGGCGTCGTATAAAAATAATATTATCAACATTGCCAATACCGTTTATTATCGTTACCAAGGTAACGTTAAGTGTTTGATTTGGGTTGAAGTACTTTTCCAGGAAACATTAGTAATCTATAGGCATGTTTTATTGCTACTTATAATGATATCCCATATTTTCATGATCAATGAAAATGATTACCTGTTTCTGATAGATTTATGGATAAAAGAAAATTTAAAGTTGTCCAGTCTTTTAGAAAAGTTTACAAAACTTATCAGTTATGGTATTTCGAACAGATATTAACAGGGTAAATGGTTTCAAATTGAGTTACTTGCTGTTCAGTTCTGACAAGCATCGATATCTCGGTTCGTTGAAGCAAATAATGTTAGATTTCTTTATCGAGCGAGATCAAAAGGACTTCTCAATTTGACTGTATTTTTAGCGTATATTTTCCGCTATGTTGTGTGTATTTGTTCGCCTATCGTGTACCATTTTGATATGATCATTTAATAAAAGTTATTATGTTGATCCATTCGTTCATCATAAATTAACATAATAGTGACTGAAAGTGGAGACCTCCTGCATTCTACCTATTAGGTACTTACGAGTATCTACCACAAATACTGATTGGTCACAAATCGATTTGTATATTCGATCTAATCTTCGCAATAAACAAAGCAATACAATGGCCAATATAAATCAACTGGGCAGTTTTGTAACATAGTGTCTGTTTCATGTTGCCAGTAAAAAGCGATCGCTGACAGCTCAGATGTGCGCACACGCAACTGCACCACATTAAGCTAGCATGTGCATAGGCAGGTCTAGGCACGCGACAGCACACAAAGGTCTACTAGTGTCATCGACCTTACTGAACATCTGCCGGCTTCTATAAACACATTTTATTATTTATCACTTGATAAAGAAATAATAATCTTCGGTATAATGTTGACGTCTACTGTTTTATTTATTTGCAATACGAATAATTGGTGAAACTTTTGTTTTCGTAGCGGTTTTTTTTTTTTGTAGAAAAGTGTTATGTATTGTATATTGCTTTAAAATAATAAAAAAGAAGGGCATAAATTTATTAGATTTAATTTTAATACAAGCTCTTTTTTTGTATGTCTATACTGATTGTGGATTTGGAAGAACTTTGATAGCAATATATGTAAGTTCATAAGCGCATTTATAAGATTTAAATTCCATGTTAACCTGAGGTTAGTGCTCAGATTATTGAGTTAATGCTCCATTAAGTCGCAAGTACGTGCTCTCCCAAAACTGTTTCAGGAACATCTTTGCAATGTAAGAGTTTATTGCGATAATTTTTTTCTCATCATAATCATTTATTTATAACCTTAATGCTTCAGAAGCTTAGTGTAATAACATGAATTTATAATTCAAATTATTGTTTCAACAGGAATATATTTCAGCCTTCTCTGGATATGAAGGTGTAATATAATCCTTTTGCAGGTGTTTGAAAATACACATGCTCTTATAAATATAGATCCTTTTCTATCTTTATTATCGCTTTCGTAGTAAAACTTTTTTTTGTTATTAAAACCTTGCAACAGACTTTCCATTAAAGATAATTTCTTGTAGAATTCTGTGGAAATTATAGTATTCGAAATATATATGTACAATTCGTTTTGGTCTTCGAAATAAACAGAAGTTGCTTGTAACAATGTTATTTGCTTTTGTTTTTAACTTGATATTCTGCTTTTTCTTTATTATTAATACGAACATTGTTACTTTCTATGGGTACGGGTATCTAAAAAATGTTCTCTTTATTATTACAACGGTTAATTTCTTAAGATACTCGTGTATTATTTATAATTGAATAGAAAATCTCGTTAGAAATAAATTCGCTATCATCACGTCGTAAAAACAAAATTGTATCTTGTATAAAATTCCATTGAATTACTGTATCATTTTTTTATCGATTGTCTTCAATAGGGGGAAAGGCAGCTGCGAACTGTTAAGTATAAATGTCACTCGCGAGATCAGCACATTTTACATCTCCGTAAATTTATTTTTGCCCATCTTCGTCTCGAGTGATTGCAATAATATAAAATTATAAAATACTGCGTTTATCTCTGCACCAAACATGGTGTCTGTGAAAAAATGCAAGAGCCTGAGATGCTATTTATCAAGCAGTTGGCTTATTCATTGCAAGAACTGATTTAGTTAATCAAATCACTTTTTGCGTTTATAGAGATGATAATAATGATATATGACGACCAACCACGGTCGTCAGCTTTAGTATCAAAACACGGAATCTAAAATAAGTTGAAAAAAGATGCGTCCGTGTGGAAAAACTAAAATGAATTATCCCATTAGGAACACTGTAACAGAATTTGATTTATTGCCGTTCGCATAAGACAATTGCATAATTGCGGCGCCTGCACTTAAAACTGGTTCGATATTTCATCGCAGCATTTCGATTTTATACGTGTTTTTGCCTCGGGTGCGACATTAATATGCATTCGAGGCGCGTGCCGGCGGTCAGCTGTTTCTTCTATGCGCCCGCAAGCTGCGCGCGCCGTAAAAGGAAACCAGACCCGCGGATGGATTACGCCGATTACATCGCAATTATCCGTGCGAGCTGACTGCCGAGCCACGTAACGACGGACCACTTTCGCGATCTTTGTTCCGCGCGACATTGAACTTCTCGTAATGTTTTATGTAATGTTATTGGGCTCGCATGTCATTGCCACGGGCGTCTTGTTCTTTATATAAATATTCGTAGATACAGACTTGCGTCAGTGATTAGCGTCTTGACGTATACATTTTTATCACATTAACACAAGTTTCTATTACCTAAACTTGTCTCTGCTCTCTGTATCCTCGCGGCGATCAGTATGGCTGCCTCGTATCACGATATTCGCATGCGCGATGCGATCGTTTTTATCGTTCCCCATGTCGCGACTGCGGATGGCATTCACAGCGCAAGCTTGAAGTTTTTACTGTCACCACACTTGAACTTGTACACGTACCAACTTGGTCACAGTTATTTCGCTGGCCACAGTTTATAGAATCTTTATATAGATTGCCTGGGATACGAAATATTTTCCATTCTCATATCATGTTGCTGTAATCATACCCACATCACGATTTTCACAATACAACGTGTGTTAGTCGTGTTTAGCTCGTATTTCCAGTGGCATAACATGCTTTTTAGAATGCAGTCGTATTTATCAGTCATAGTGGTCGTCGAAGAGCCCTTAAAGTCATAACTGTAACAAGCACGACAGGAGTCTATTTCCGCTCGCTAGCCGGATATCTTCACTTTATTATTTTCTATTTTCAGATAAATCCGTTGAGATTCAGTATATTATAGAAAAATACAGTGCACTAGAACGTGTGGTCTATTGCAATTTGTATAGAAATCTGATATCGGATTTATTGTTGAAATCGAAACAACATTATAAATTGAAACACAAAGAACACTTATTGACATTAATTTGATAAGAGACAAAATAAAACTGTGAACAATAAAGGATGGAAAACAAAGGGTAAACGTCGTCATTGTCTTCTATTGAGTTCGAGATGTACCGCAGAATTGATTGGAAATAGCAAAGATTATATTATTGTTATCCGAGCATTTAAATTAATTATTCTTTTTATATCAGATTTTATGCTTTATAAAAATCGTTTTTAGCTGTAAAAATGTTATAGTATTGTGGTACTGAGACAAGATAGACCAATCAAGCAGCCGTGACGTAATAAAGGTATAATTATAGGTTCCACTTTTTATAAAAAAAATACAATTGTTTTATAGCGAATGATTTTAGAATTAATAATTTTATAATCGATGAAGTCTAAACGCAGGTCTAAGTACATGGGTTACCTGCGATACTCGAGACGTCTCGCCTCAACATTTGGCTTCTGTCGTAGTGCACTAGCTTTTATATATGTTTGTTGAGTAAACATTGCACTTTCCAAAGTCTAAGGGCATTGACTTGAATTAATAAGTAAGTACCGCATTCGTGCCAATTCTTGATGTGGAAACTGAACTACGAACATCTGGGAAAAATTTTGGCTCGAGTGAGCGTCTAATTTAATTTATATAAAGCAGCTTGCCTATTACTGTGC